CAACTTCACCTTCTCTCCAACCAGCACCTGGTAACTTCTGTTCTACTTCTTTTCTATGAGTTTGCCTATTCCAGGTTCCTTATATTGTTGAAATCATACAATATTTGTCCTTCTGTTTCTTGTCTGCTTTATTTCCCTAAGCATAATGTTTTCAAAGTCCATTTATGTGATAGCATACACCAAAATTTCATTCCATTTGGTGGATGAATAGTAGTCTATCGTATGTATACACCATATAATTGGGTTGTTTCTGAGTAATAAGTACTACCGTAATCATTTAAATAAAGCTGAATATTGCTATTTTTAGATGAAAATATCTCAGGAGAAGGTAAGCTGGACAGTCTCTCAGTCTCTCTTGTTCAGATTTCCTGATAGTACACATCAACTCCTTTCATGAAAGTATGCTGGCAAGGACTTGAATGAGTCCTGAAAAGTAATCAGGCTCACAAGAGTTGGAACATTTCTGGCCTAGTACTGAACATTTGGGAGAAATATGGTCAGAGGAGTTTGTGTTCACTGTGAACTACCTTCTTCTCTCAGGGGCAGGTCAAAGCAGAACACTTTGCAGGGTTGAAGTTGAGTCCTAGCTGACTCATCCTCAGAGTATGGAGGAGGAAGGAAAAACATAATTTAAAAATCTAGGTCATGCTTCCCAACACACTCACTCAGATCTCTGAATTGCTTTATAAACAATCTACTTTGTGTCATTGAACTTTTGAGTTCCTTGAAGTTCTATGTAGTTTTCCTCTTTCCAAGATAATATTCGTAATTTTGAAATTAAACATCTCTGTTCCATAGCTATCTAAAGAATTATAAACTGATATATATATATATAAAGTTTTTAAAGGATTTATTTATTTATTTATGCTTACAGAACTGGGGTATAGGCCAGAGGTGCAGGGGCAGTGAGAGAGGATTCACCAAAGACAGAGTGGAGAACAGAACAGGCGGATCGATAAAGCACACTGCTAAGGGGAGCAGTGGGTGGGTCAGGAGAGGTCTGCCACGCCATGTGGGTCACCTCCTGGGCGGGGGGTCTAACTCACACTGAAGTGGCTGTGGGTCACTTGCAGTGTTGCACTTTAACCCGTTGCGCCACCAGGGAAGTCACAAATTATATATATGTACATACATACACACACACATACATACATATGAATTATATAACTGATAGTCTTGTGTGACAGTTTTATTTAAGGTCTTGTGGGTAGGAACTTAGTATAACATACATAGAGCACCCTGGGTAATGCCTAGCCCATGAGCATTGCTAATTAAGTAGTAGATAACTGCTACTATTTTATCCACCAATTCTTCTTTTAAAGTATTTTGTATTAAAAGAAATATTCTTCTTTTTAAGTATTTTGATCTGGCAAGCATAGTGTCAATGAGTTATCATTGATAACATTAACATTTGCAATGAAAAGTAATAGTGAAAACTACATAGATATGAATATGAAAACTGAGTGTTGACTTCATTTTGAAATGCTTTTGAAGATCTCGACATTGAAATCATCACATATAATCATTTCCTGTTCGTTGCAGGACTGGTTGCTACAGCTCTTTTATTTTTCTGCTATAATAAACTTTTATTAGGTGATCAACAATTGAAGGAAAAAATATGTGGTATTTTAATATCCTTTGCAAATTCTTTTGGAGCAAAGAGCTTTATTTTTTCCTCCAGCACTTCTGTTTTGTACAACTGATGAGAGCAATGTGTTAACCGTTTTTTCTTGTGGCTTTTGGCTTTGAAATTAATGGCTAATGGTGTCACCTGGTTTCTGATTACTCCCTGTAAGATGCATGATTCACTTCCTGGTGTATCAGGCATGAGTGTGTGATCTGTTATGGAGCTCTGATTGCTACTATTTGCTACTTTTCATATTCAGAAAGTCCCATTTTATAGATAGGGAGGTGCTTTTAATTATCTCTTTTTATTGTATTTATCTCCCACTTTTATAGCTCCTAAAATCTAGTTAAATTTTTGTGTTCAGTATTTTGTGGTGTATTGTCAATACCAAAATGATTAACTGAAATCTTTTTTTCTCTACCTCTAGTGATTTCCTAAATAAAAACCAGGAACTGTTGCAGGATTTATCAGAAATGAATGAGGAAAACACACAGTTGATGGAAATACTGAATACCTTGTTTTTCTTGCCAATCAGACGACTTCATAACTATGCGAAAGTTTTGTTAAAGCTTGCTACTTGCTTTGAAGTGGTAAGCATCCATGTGTGTCCTCCTTTGGATGCTTGGTAAACTAAAGTTCACAGTTGTTCGTTTAAATTATGCCATTACAAGATCTAAAGCCCTACTAATTTAATACTTACATATGTCTAGTTAATTTTCTTTTTCTTCAGGAAAATGTAAGAAGAAGGGATGTCTGTAGGCAAATTAGTTTACTATGGTGTGGATTCAATGCCCAGTAAGGACCTTCTCAAGATTAATTATATTCATTTTATGAAACTGTGTCCCAAGTTGAAACCTAGTTATAAGAGCTATACTCATTCAGTAGTTGTCCAAGTTTATTGAGTACATGCTATGTACCAGCTCCCCAGAGCTCTCGAAAATCCTGGCTTTCTGTGTAGCAGCACTCATGTGAGGCCACTGCCTCACCACCTGGCCTGGGCTCGTGATTGCTGGGCCAAGTGTCGGGGTCACCTTAGCATGTGCAATGAGAATCACTGCATTCAGAATTTTTCAAACATTAACTAGTCCACTTTTTGAATAATATTAGGTAGTCCTAGAAAATTACCTCTGATCTAAGATTTGAATGCATTTTAAACAGTCCTGACACTAACCTTTGAAATTATACTAAAATGTAAGATTTCATTTCATTTTCACCCTGTTGGGTCCCTTACAGTTTGGAATCTTTTTAATCTTAGGATCTAGCTCCTAATCTGGAAACATTTCAGTCTCCAGAGTAACCCAAGATGTGTTGCAGGCTTTCTGCAGCTAGTCCCTCTGTGGTCTTGTAGTTTTTTGGTTTTTTTTTTCTTTAGTTTCAATTTCAATAAACGGATATACTTTTAGCTATAAGGGTTTGAGCTACCAAACAATTTACTAAGATACAGATTTTGTCTCAAGATGTCCTCAGTTAAAAATCTCCCCTTCTAAGTCAGCTTGGAGTTGTCTCTTGTGCTTATATACTAGGCTCAATGCTGTGTAAGAACATCCATATTCATTTAGTTTGGCATTCGGGACCCTTCACAATCTGATACTCCTTTCTGTACATATCCTGTACTCTATATCCTACAAGTTAGCTCAGATTCCCTGCATGTGGCATTCATAAGTCTTTCTAGTTCCTTCCCGTCACATCCCCACCTCCGTCTTTCTTGTGGGAAATGTTCATTTGACCTGGATGCAGAAGTAAGGATAAGTGAAACTGCTGGGTCCTTCGTACGAATTAAGGCAGTGGCATCAAACTGTACTTACAGCCTCTGGCTTCCTCACTGCCTTGCACTTGCAGTTAAAAAATGGAACAAACAAAATTGCTGGTTTTACTTAATATTCTTGATGAAGCAGTACCAATTATTACTTTTATTTAACCTGAACTCTGAGTATGTATCTTTAATATTCTGTGTGATGAGTGGCAAGTACTGGTCAAGCAGTTTTGTTGCATACTTAAGGCTAACAGTCTCTCAAGGAGAAGCAGGGCATTGTGTGAATGGAGAGCTCTCTGCTTTTTTTTTTTTTTTAACCTGAAAGAGCAGTTGACAGATAAACTGATTATTCAGAGTTGATTACTTAGCAGATACTTTGTCAAAAATAAGCAAATGAGCCTCTTATAGAACAACTTACAGTTTTTATTGATAATGATAAAATCTGAACTTATAGCAAAAATTAGAATGTGGGGAGCATGGATTTCTTACAATAATCTTGACATTTTCCCAATACTAAGACTTTGATGATACTGGTTATATTAATATTAGCATGTGGCTTTGACATGGATGTCAAAATGTCTCAACCTCTGGAGGATGTGCATAATTCAGTGAACTAGTATTTTTCAAATTTTCAAGCCACATGTTATAAAAACATGCATAGGTAAAGATATAGTCTGAGATAGAGCTGTGGGTTTTAACAGAGTACAGTAAGTTTGGTTAGATGTAACTTCATTCCACATGTGAACTATAACTACCACTTAACAAGTTTAATGCAGTATCAAAGGAGATATTATTTGAAATGGCTGTTAAAATGCTCTGCCCTTTTCTAATTATATAAAGCAAAATTTCTTCATGTATTTCAACTACATAACATATAATGTGAGGTTGAATGCAGTAGCAGATATGAAATTCCAGCTGTCTTCTCAGATAATAGATTAGAAAAATTGTAGAACAATATCACTTTCACAGAAAGCAGTGTTTTTATTTTGTGAAATACCTTTTTTTATCATTAAAATGTGATTGTATTTGAAACAAATACTTTTGTTTTCACTTTTCTAATTTGGTGAATTTCAGTAGATCTAATCTACTTAATGATCTCTATTTGAGAACCGCCCTGTACTAACTGTTTTCCCTTCCCTCCTCACTGGTAACTACCAGTGTTTAATTTCTGTCTTCCTTGCATTATTTCCTGATTTCATATGTATCTGTATGTAGTGAATTTTTATGGAACCTATCTCCTTTGCCCAACTCCGTTTGGTGTGTCATGTCTGTACCGAGGCTGGATTTTATCCCTAAATGTAATACTTCACATCTAAACCATACTGAGGCTATGGATTCTGGACAATCGTTTTATATTCTTTTCTCCCCCTTAATTATTGGCCTCTAGACATCTCCAGAATACCAGAGACTGCAGGATTCCAGTTCTTGTTATGAGTCTCTTGCTCTCCATCTCGGCAGGAAAAGGAAAGAAGCAGAGTACACCCTGGGCTTCTGGAAGACGTTTCCTGGGAAAATGACGGTAAACCATGCCAGTTGCCTTTACCCCAGCAAACAACAGACCCAGCCGTACAAGCTGCCTTGATTGTCCCTGTTCCTTACTTGTTTGTAGTGCTAGTGCTTTAACGTTGAGTGACCTTTTTCTAATTGAGGGTGCCCAAAGTGTCACAATCACAGCGGCTCCGAACATCAGCACCAGCCCTCAATTCCAGGCATTTTCATCTGAAGCTGTATCCCACCTTCTTTTGTTCCTTCCCGTCTTCTTAGAACTTGTCTTTGAGCTCTAATTTTGTTAAATATTTGGGTCCCATCTTAAGTTTAGCATCAGGTTATCCTGTGACCAAAAATTCCTCTAGGTGTGATTTGTAGCTATCATTTCTTCATTTGGATCATTCAACTTTGTATTTGTTTTTAATTCCAGGATTCCTTGAGGAAGCCAGAACGTCGACTGCTGTGTGAGAGCAGTAACCGAGCCCTATCCCTGCAGCACGCTGGGAGGTTTTCTGTGAATTGGTTCATCCTTTTTAATGATGCCCTTGTCCATGCCCAGGTAGGCCAGACTTGAAACCTTAAAAGCTCTAGCAGGTGGGACCTTATTCATATTTAATGACACCATTAGGTTTTTTTTTTAGCTATTATGATTTGCTGGAACTATTGAACAGAAGAGACTGTTTTGCTTGCATCTGTGCTATTTGCCCAGGTCTGCGGGAGCTTTTCAGTTTGCAGCCTAAAGCGTCCCTGCAGCAAAGAGGGGGAGGCCACTGGCAAGAGATGGTGGCATGTACATGGACTTGGTGTATGCAGTGGAGTCCCCAGGCGATACGGGCTGTCTCAGAGGCTTCTCGGTGTTTTCTGTTTCAGTTCTCCACACACCATGTTTTCCCGTTGGCCACACTCTGGGCAGAGCCACTTTCTGAAGAAGCCGGTGGCGTGTGAGTGTGCCCCCTCCCCACCCCAGTTCTTTCTGTCTGCTTCCCAGAGTATTTCTTTAAATGAAAAAAAAAAATATTCAGGTCTCCCCATTCTGCACGATGAGACTCATCTTCCTGGCATGTAGATAGGAAAATGGCCTGCTGTGAAGATCATGACGTGGGTGAGTGGGGGGAGGGCAGGGCCTCTTCCTCACTGACATCCCGTTTTCAACACATTTACACTTAAAAGTGATGGCTCCTTTCAAAATGAACAAGTCGTCTTTCATATTTGAGAAGTGATATAGCTTGTTACACTTACTGGTAATTTCCCTGTGAATGTTTTAGGAATGGCTTAAAGATAACTACGCCTGAGGAACAGTTCACTCTCATTTCATCAACACCCCAGGAAAAGGTTAGTCTGTCTACTCAGGTATTTTTTTTTCATTCTTGAGCCTGGTTATTTCTGTATCTTGTGATAGTAAGAAGACATTAAAATTATTGCTTGGCAGATGATTATGTATGAAAAAATCATTAAAAGCAAAGACTATTGATTTTTTTTTTTTTACTGTGACTTAATTCTAGAACAGTGAACTCCTAGAGCCATTCAGCATTACTTAATAAGAAAAGCATGAGGAGACAAAAATTACTCTTGCCAGAAAAATAGCAGGAATTAAATAAAGCATTGCTACATTGTTGCCCCACTGGCATTTGCTTTTTGCTTTTAGGCTTATTGACTTTTGCTTTTTGCTCTTAGACTAAGTGGCTACGGGCTATCAGCCAAGCTGTGGATCAGGCTTTGAGGGGAACATCTGATCTTCCACCTTATGGCAGTGGCAGCAGTATTCAGAGGCAGGAGCCACCCATTTCTCGCAGTGCCAAGTACACTTTCTACAAGGACCCTCGCCTAAAGGATGCAACTTACAATGGACGCTGGCTTTCAGGGAAGCCTCATGGCAGGTGAAAATGTTTTAAAATTTATGCCTGGGGTAAGGGTGGTAGTCTAAATAGTGAAAAAATATTGATTATCGAAACCACTTCTTTAATTGACATGTATCATTCTTTGCTTATGCATTTCAGAGGTGTTTTGAAGTGGCCAGATAGAAAGATGTATTCTGGCATGTTCCGGAATGGCTTGGAAGATGGGTAAGAAAACTGTGTAAAACATGAGGGTAAATTCACCTTCAGTCACAAATGTTGGTATTTTTGTGCTTAAAATTATTTTCAGTGACAATTAGTAGATTGTTTTGTTTTTTAGGAAAGTATGCAGTATACTAGGGCCCATTATAATGCAGATATGTGAACACGAGAGAGCTAGGAATCTGGGATGCAACTTTGATTTACCTAGAGCAAATAATATACCTTGATAGGCTTGTGGAATTTCAGTGATGAAGTAATTTACTTTATAAAAAAGATTTTACATAAAATAGGGAGGTGATCTTATATGTGTATGATAATGTGAAATTTTATATCTGTTAATCTTTTGAAGGAATTTTAGAATGAATAGAGACTTCAGTTAATCTGATTTATTAGACAAATGAGGGGGCTCTGAGTATCTGGACTTATGGTGATGTGGCCAGTTAGTGACAGAGAGACATAGGACAAGGTTTTCTGTTTTTCATTGGACTTTTGATAAAATATCTGACCTCTTTTAGTGGAGATTGTTTCACACCTCTAAAACTTGTGAAATGGCTTAGATAATAGAGCTTAAGCGAGGTCCTACTTATCTCTTTTCTGCTAGAGGTAATATTTATTTGTACATATAGGGTACAGGCCAGAGGCTCAGGGGCTGTGAGAGGCTTCACCAGAGACAGAGTGGGGAGCAGAACAGGCAGATCGATGAAGTACACTGCTGAGGGGAGCAGCGGGCGGGTCAGGAGAGGTCTGCCACGCCATGTGGTCACCTCCGGGGCAGGCAGGAATCGAACTCATGCGGAAGTGGCTTTAGCTTTTCAGTGCAGTCTGGCTTTAACCCACTGTGCCACCAGGGAGGGCCATCTTATGATGTTTTTTATTCTCCTTGGCAGGTATGGAGAATATAGAATTCCAAACAAAGCACTAAACAAAGAAGACCATTATGTGGGCTATTGGAAAGAAGGAAAAATGTGTGGTCAAGGAATCTACAGGTAATAACATCAGTAAGTTTGTTGGACAGATAATGCTTTTTCTAAGAATCATGTGAACCTAAATGTTTGTGGAAAAAAAATTTCCCCAAGGAGTAAATTATTATTCTTATGACTGAATCTACAAAGTCTTTTAAAAAGAGATCAGCCCCTCATCTTTCAGAAGATAAAAATATTAGTTTTTTTAATTCTGTTTTTTTTTTTGAAAGATTTATTTATTTATGCTTACAAGAACTGAGGTACAGACCAGCAATGCAAGGGGTAAGGGGATTCACCAGAGACAGAGTGGGGAGCAGAACAGACAGATCTACTGAAGTACATAGCTGAGAGGAGCAGTGGGTGGGTTAGGACATCTCCTTGGCCAGGTATTGAACTCATGCTGCAGTGGTTGCAAATAGCTTCATAGCACTGTGCTTTAACCCACTGTGCCACCAGAGAGGGCCCTTTTTTTTTTTTTCTTTTAATTCTTAACCAAATTTTATAAACTATACATACTTAAGTTGCCTAAATGTCTATAAAATGATCTTTAATTTATTATATGACTAATGTGGACAAAACCTTTCATTCTTTCTCAGATTGCTCATATTTCCATTTCCTGTAATATACCAAACACATTTTTCTGTTAATACAGGATATCATAATGGCTAACTTTTTAGCCATACTTATTAAAAAATGAGATATTTTTATGCAAGGAAATAATTGTACAAAAAACTAATTATCATTACCAGTGAGAATTGAGTATAGTTTAGAATTTCCTAAACTTGTGAAAATGAGCATCAGAATTCACTGTGTTGTGATCCTTATCCATTCTCCTAACCACAGTTATGCCTCTGGTGAAGTGTTTGAAGGCTGCTTTCAAGATAACATGCGTCATGGGCATGGTCTCCTACGAAGTGGAAAATTGACTTCCTCTTCTCCCAGTATGTTCATTGGCCAGTGGGTAATGGATAAGAAAGCAGGATATGGTGTCTTTGATGATATCACTAGGTATAGTATTCTGCTTCTTATCTCAAAGTTTAGTATGAAAGGATAAGCTTCCTATACTTCCCCAAAAGTAGTGATGATTTTATGAAGAGTGAGTTGACAGGTGTTGAGAAAACTTTTAATAAGAAGACAAAGTTGTCAGGCATCATTTTATCCATTTTCCTGTGAACCAAATAATAGGTTACTTATTTACAAGATTAGTTTCATTCCAAATTTAGGTACCAATATTAAGATTCTTTTATTTTTTAAAGGTTCATTATTATTTATGCATATAAGAAATGTGGTACAGGGCTGAAGTGTTGGGGGTGAGAGGCTTCACCAGAGTAGGAAGCAAAACAGGCAAAACACACTGCTGAGGGGAGCAGCAGACAAGATTGGAGAGGTCTGCTACTCCATGTGGGTTAGCTCCTTCGGTGGGGATATAACTCAGGCCACAGTGGCTGTTGATAGCTTGATAACACTGAGACTTTATGGTTAATGTTACAACTAAAAGCTTCACACCTGGAAAGCTTCTGGTGTTTCAAATCTTCGTTAATCTTACACTGAAAATCTTAATGCTCACTTGATATAAAGGGTACAAGCTTGGGGACAAACCAGTGGAAATTCCCTTTGAGGTCATAGAGTTTTGTCTTCTGCTCTCCTCAGCAGTGTGTTTCAGTAGATTTGCCTGTTTTGATTCCTACTCTGGTGAAGCCTCTCACCCCCAACACTGCTTAGATCTACCTATCAAATTAAAGATTTGTTACATGCCAGAAACCCATTAATCAAACTTAGTTGAATTTAATTAACTAAACTTCAGGGAGGAATGTAATTCTTCTGTTTCCATATTTGGCTTGGCCTGATTTGCTTTTGTGCTTTATACCCCCTTGGGTTATTATCACAATTGTCTAGGATTTTTCAGTTTTGCTGTTTAAAGCTCCATGATTATATCACAAACATTATATTACATGACTGTATTACTTTGGTTGTCTTTCTAGTGGAAATTAGTAAGAGTTTGGGTGGTAAGAGTTTATTTTATGCTAACCCCCATTTTTTTTAAAGTTAATGACTTTTTAGATAAGGAAAAATTGTGTGTAGGTTCAATTCTAGCTGTTACATTCTTGATTGAAAGTACCCAGAGTTGAGTTCTGGGTACTCTTTTTTTTTTTTTTTTCCAAGTGTGTGTTTTAGAGTTACCAAGGAAGTGCATGGAGGATATACAGATCTGTCAGGTGGAATATAATATTAAATTCTTCAGAGAACATTACTCTGAATAAGAAATCTTTTACTATCATCGTGTGTCATGGTTGAAGAGAAAGACCTAACCACTCTAGAAAAATAGAATAGATTCCCACCTAAGGGTGATGCTAGTATTTTGTATGTAATGATGGATTTTTTTTCCTCTTCATCCTTGACAAATCATTGACTTTTCTGTTTTGTTTTGTTTTCTCCCTTCCTGTTTTTACTCAGGGGAGAGAAGTATATGGGAATGTGGCAAGATGATGTATGTCAAGGGAATGGTGTGGTAGTTACCCAATTTGGATTATACTATGAGGGCAACTTTCACCTTAATAAAATGATGGTAAGTAAAATATTTAGATGTAGTTACTATACAGTACCAGGTAGTTACTATTTACTTTTTTAAATGCTGGTGTTCTTAACTTTTTAAATCTACTTTTTCTTTGTTAATGTTCTTTTCTTTTTTAGCCTTTTAAAATTACTTAAGACTTTGAGGGGGGAGGGAATGGTTGCATATAATCTTAAATGAATCTGTGTTTTTTTGTGTGCTAGAATTTTTATTTTGTTTCTTCACATAGGGAAATGGAGTTTTACTTTCTGAAGATGACACTATCTATGAGGGAGAATTTTCAGATGACTGGACTCTCAGTGGAAAGGTTGGAAACTAACATTTTTCTTTTTCTTATACAATCTTTTACTGATTTTTTTTCTTGAGTTTTTAAAACTGCTACCTTACATACCAAAAATATTCATCCATTTAAAATGGATAGCATATGTTAAGTATCCATGCACTTTTGTTTTGGGGGAGATTTTTGATTGTTTGGTTTTCAGTATTTGTGATTGGCTTAGCCTTGGTAAACAGAATTTTTTAGCCTTGGTAAACAGAAATGTTCTAGAAATTGTCCATTTCTTCAAAATTACCAAATTTATTGATCCATAGTTAATCATAAAACCACTTTTTAATCCAATAGTTATTTAGCATATGTTCTTGTTTTTCCATTTTGTTTAATTAGCTGATTTCCAGCTTTATGACATTATGATCAGAAACAGTAGTTGATGTGATGACAAACAGCCTTTATAATTTTTTTGATTTGTGTCCAACTTTCAGTTTATTCTTGGAAATGTTGCATGTATACTGAAAAATGTATGAGCTATGATTTGAGAGTGGAGTGTTTCTTAGCTTCTCATTTAATGTTACTGTTGTCCTATTTATTCTCAGTCTTATTGATCTCTCTATATTCATAAGTGAATTATTAAAATCCTCTAGTATTTTTATGTTAGTATCTATTTCTATTAATAACTTACTTTATAAATCTTGGTATGCCATCATTTGGGGCATATGTTTATGAGTGTTATTTCTCTTATTGTACCAGGTCCCTAATCATAATGTAATATCCATTTCTATCTCTTACTACCTTTTTTAGTTGGAAATCTGTTTTAGTGTAATATAATTGCTTTTGACTTTTCTTGATTATGGTCTTCAAGCCTTTACTTACTCTAAGTCTTTGTTTATTTTTGTGGCAAGATGAGTTTCCTATTAACAGAAGAGACTGGACTTTGTTTTGAAACCCATTCAGCCACTGTTGCTTTTAAATGGAGAATTCAGGCAATTTACATTTGAGACATAAGTGCTTGTTGCTGTTTTCATATTTGTTTGGCTTTTAGAATTTTTTTAGCTTGCCTTTACGTTTTATTTTTTGACATCTTCCTTTATATTTTGTTTAGTTTCCATTTCCATACTCTTTTGTTTTATTTCTGTTGATTTTGGTTGAAGATTATATTGTGGCTTGTGTGTGATGAATTATTTGTGGCCCACTGAGTAGTTTGATCTCAATTTTTTGTTTGTACTGTCCACCACATTGTATAATTAGGTGTCTTACCAATAGATTAATTTCATTGTTGCTTTATAAACCTCTTTAGTACTTTCATGTTCTACTTGATGTTAATTTAATATAGTCTTTTAATTTTTGTTTTTGGGTGAAGCCCTTACCCTTCCTTTGTCTTGAATGATGGTATGGTAAGATAAAGTGTTCTAGATTTTTCTTTGAGGAGTACTTTAATTATCTCCTGCTATTCCATTCCTGTAAGTTTTCCACTGAGAATTTAATGGATAGTTTTGGATAGATATTCCTTCTTTCATTGTCTTTAGTATTCTTTTTTGCCTTTAGCTTTCAACAGTTTGATTATATTGAAATTTGGAGTATGTCAATCTGGTATAATTTTGTCTGGAACTCTAGTTTGTTTACCAGATTGAGATGGTCGTTTCTTTATGTAATTTTTCCATTACCTTCTCTTTCTTGTGACCTCTGGGACACCCATGATTCAGATATTGTTTCTCTTCAGGAGCCCAAAGAGCTCCTGTACTGTTTTCTTTTCCTCTTTGTTCTGTTCATGTGCTATTCATCAGTAATACATTCAAGTTTCCTGGTTCTCCCTATAACTTGCATTTGTCTGCTGCTGAGGACCTGCATTTTATTTTTTAATTCTATTAATTTTTTGATTCATTAACTTTATCCGTAGCAGTCTCATATTCTATCTCTGTTGTGTTCCTGTCTTTCATCATCCATTGTTTTTCTTAATTCAACAAGCATGGCTATTTAACTGTACCTTAAACTCTTCCTCAGACAGATTCAGTTGGATTCTGAATGGATTAAGACTTCTCTTAGAATTAATTATTTTGCTTCAGAATTTGTGGAATGTTCTTCTATTTTTTTTTTAATTTTTAGTTTATATATGTTATAATAAGAAGTTCCCTTTTTTTGTCTTGACAAATATAGTCATCTACAAGTAACTGGGTATAAGCCTGAGTTTTTTTACCCAGGTTTTGGGTATCTGTTATTTCCTAGACAGATGCCTTGTACCTCTGCAGCTGACTGAGGCACGGGTGCCAGTAAGGGGTACTCGGTAGGAACTGGGTCACTAGGACACCAAGGTTCACCTCTAGTGAGCAAGCAGGGATTCAAGCTTCTTACGGTGCGGTAGGTATCCTAGGTGTATGGAGGGTCAACTCCTTGGTAAACATTATCAGTTTCTTGCAACCTCAATTTATAGGCTGCATGAAATAGTAAGTAATAGGTGTAGTATTAGGAGACTATAATTGAGATGAGGCCACAAATTGGGAATTTTCTTTTTGCTCTTCAAGTTTGGAGACTTAACTCTAGGTTGTGTGTTCCTGTTAAGGTCCAGGTGCTTCAAAGTCTTAGTAAGAGCACTGAATGGTCCTCTCAGTTTTGGCCCTGGGTGTGGTAAGGCACATATTTCACATAGCACAGCCTCAGGCTGCCTATAATAGCCCTCTTTTATGAGAAGACACAGGACCAGGCTCCCCTTACTGGTTCAAGCTCAAGCCAGTAATCATCACTGAACCCTGATTCCAAGAATGTTTGGAGAACTCACCAGAGATGTCACTGGGCCTGAGCATTACTTTATGCAAACTATTTGCATTTCTAATTCTGTTTCCTCTGTTCTTATTAGTCTGTTCAGATTTTCCAGCCAGATATATCATGTCTTCTTGAATCAGTTTTGGTAATTTGTATTTTCCTTTTTTATTTCATCCAAGTTACCTACTTTGCTGTTTGCTTAGTATTCCTACCTAACCTTTTAATTCTTATATGGTTGATGTAACTCCATTTCAAAAATTCTTTTTTGATTTTGTAATTTTATATATTTTTCTTGATCAGTTTTGTTAAGTATTTATCAATTTTGTATTTCTTTTTAAAGAAGTAACTTCTTCCCCCCCCCCTTTTTTTTAACCTCCTCCCCCTCTCTTTGTCTTTTAGAGTTAGGGACTGGTAAACAGTAAATCAAAAAGGGGCATGTTAACCATTTAATTTTCTTTCTTTCTCCTAATTTTTTAAATTAAAAATACTTTCTCTGACCTAACAATTTCTCTCACTTTACCTAGGGAACACTGACTATGCCAAATGGAGATTACATTGAAGGTTATTTTAGTGGAGAGTGGGGATCTGGGATCAAAATCACTGGAAGCTACTTCAAGCCTAGTTTGTATGATAGTGATAAAGACAAACCTAAAGTTTTGTAAGTAAACTAATGATTCTGGATTAATTATTGAATGTTTTCAATTATCTTTACTACTAAGGAATGTAGAAACATGTCTTTATAACTTTTTTAAAAAATCAAAATATAATCGCCTTGAATTGTCACCTGACATTCCTGAAGTTGGTTAAATCTGTAATCTTGGCTTAGAGTATAGCTGTAGAGAATGTCTGTTTAAAATAATAGTTTTTTGTGGATAATCCTGTCAGTGACTCAGACATGCAACTTGAAAGAGCATTTATAAATGGAGCCGCTACACTTGTTTTAGATTTATTTATTTATGCATACAGAACTGAGGGGTACAGGCCAGAGGTGCAGGGGCAGCGAGAGGCTTCACCAGAGACAGAGTGGGGAGCAGAACAGGCAGATTGATGAAGTACACTGCTGAGGGGAGCAGCGGGCGGGTCAGGAGAGGTCTGCCGCACCATGTGGTCTCCTCCGGGGTAGGTGGGAATCGAACTCATGCGGAAGTGGCTTTAGCTTCTCAGTGCAGTGCTTTAACCCGCTGCGCCACCAGGGAGGGCCTACGCTTGTTTTAAACGTGAAGGTCAAGCCTATGTATGTACCAAGTGGAAGCGTTTACTATGCACTTAGGGAGAAAAAGGCAAAATCTAAGTTCTGTGTTATGTTCTTCCACCACGAAGTTTTAGGAAAATAGGCCTATTTTCCTTTATCGATGTTAGCTTTGTTTTTATAATTTGGTAGCTTTTCAAATTCTTAGTTCTGATGGAAACTTGATCTATTTTTTAATTCCATGTTTATTCTAAATAGGTAATACATCTCATAATTCTTGTTTTAACAGGAGTCAGTTTTACAAAGGTCAATTCTATAAAAATGTAGAAAGCAAGGAAGTAAATTTTGATGTTCTTTGAACTTAACAATTCATACCCTTTAGACAGTATCCAATAACTTCGAGTAGCTAAATATCATCTCTTTAAAATTTGTATTCCATGTTTTAAAATGGAACAAGTGTCAGTCAAGGCTTTTTTTTTTTTCTTTTTGGTCAAAGAACCATTTCCAGTTATATATGAGAAAATTGCTGTTCTTAAGGATTTGTGCACAAAAGAAGTGCTTAATAAAAGCTTGACCTGGCTTTATTAGCAGGAAGCTAGGAAGCCTAGCAGTGCCCGCTGATGAGAAATGGAAAGCGGTGTTTGAGGAATGTTGGCGTCAGTTGGGCTGTGAGCACCCAGGCCAGGGGGATGTTTGGAAAGCATGGGACAACATCGCTGTGGCCCTGACCACTAGTCGGCGCCAGCACAGAGACAGGTGAGTGCGCACCTGGCCGTACAGGACAGAGCTGGGCGGGAAGCTTCAACTTTTAACACCAAGTAGCCAAGGCTTGCTGCGTTTGAAGTAAAAGTATAAATACTTAATTTCAAAGGCAATGATGTACTTTTATTTGTGGGCAAGATAGATAAAACACAGCCCCCTTTATCTTCTACTGAACTCAGCTATGAAACCTGGGAAGAATACATGGAGAACTATATGAAAACTCCAAAAAGTAAATATCAGCAAGTGTATTCAAACTGTCACTGAACCAGTGGTGAGTTTACTGTTTTTTTTTTTTTTTTTAACTTAACAGTTCTGTTAATTTGAACCTACAGTATGACTAGAAATCAGCAAGTAAGCTCTATTGTGCTAGCAAATATCAAGGAAAAGATCCCCTCCTTTTGGCTTGAAATTCGGAAAAGCGATTCTCAAAACTCAGATAGCTGAGCAATTATACTGGATTTTTCTTTTTCTCTATTTTTTCTTTTTTCCTCACTTTCTCATGCCCCAGCCTCTAGGGAGTTCTGTGGCAAAAGAAGTAATGGCAGAGCTGGAACACTCATGGGCAGGATATTTGCAAGAGTCAAAACTATAGAAAGAGTAGAATCTTCTCTCATTGGTGGATCCTCAGGCCCAAGGGTCATGACCAAGCCACATTTTTTTTTTTTTTTTTTGGCTTCTCTATTTTACCTGCTGGCATAGAAGTAGGCAATTTCTAGTCAGTGGAATTAGAAAATGTTGGGGAGGTAAAGGAAAGAGGACAACTCTAGGTACCAACCCTGTAAAGTGGTTTGTGAATTCCTGCATTCACCTCAGACTGATACACTGTGCGTGTGTGGGTTTGGTCCTAACTAGCATATAACAAATATTCTGAGAACTGATTGAGCGGTAGATTTCTACTTGGATCCCTGACTGACCAGGAGAGGTGTACTTATAGATCAGACCCAAATAGGACGGCTAAAAGGTCTTGGAGAAGTGAACTGACAATGGAATCACAGTCCCCAGAAGTCTGAAACAAAACCATCAGCTGTTCCAGAGATATCCATGATTACCTGCATATTCAGTGATTCTCTAAAGGGACTCAGAAGACTCAACATATAACTGGTCTCACAAGTAAAACTTATACTGCAGTCAGATTATAGGGGAAGAACACATGGTCAGAGTCTTGAGCAATCTATGTGCAAGCTTTCCATGCTCTCCCTTCTGTGAGAGGTCACACAGAAACACTCCCCACCCCAGTGGTAAAATGTAAAATGTACAATTTTTCTGCATAGGAAAGCTCAATAGAAATATCTAAGGGTTTATTGGATGCTGATTATGTAAGCCCTCTATGCTTAGCAATGACCAAAATTTCTTAGTCCCATAAAGAAAGCAAATGTTTACCATAAGTTAAACAGATTATAGCCAGAAAAATACCTTTGCCAATTAAGTAATGTTTCATTTTAATAGAGGAAGAATTGTTCCCAGGTATCAGTCAAGAGCCTTATATTCAGGTCTTTTAGAACAGTTTCAGGCCTGCTGTGCTTAACTCCACAAGGAGACCCAGATTCTCATAATACTCAAAATGTGTAGGAGACAAACCAAAATTACTAGCCAGCCAAAGAATCACAAAATTCTCAAATCTTTGAGGAAAGATACACAGTAGACATCAAGAATAACCTAATACAAATTTTGGGACTATGTCAGAAGAACTTTAAAGCAGCGGTCATTAAAATACTCTAATAAACAATTACAAACATCTTTGAAACAAATACTAGAACTTAAAGTGTCAGCAAAGGAGATGAAAAGGAGAATCAAATTAAAATTTTAGAATTAAAAAATTCAATAACCAAATTTTTAAAAAGCATGGCAAACTCAATAGCAGAATAGAGGGGAAAGCAGATGAGTATAAGACCTTGAACTTAATAGATTAATAGAAATTATCCAAGCTGAACTTGAAAAAATGTGGGAAAAGGTGACATTTTCAGTTCTAAAAGTCTTAATATTTGTGTCAAGAAGGAGATGAGAAAAATTGTGGGTATTAGAGAAATATTTGAAGAAACTATGATGCTTCTGAAGTCTGATGGAAAACGTGAGCCTCCAGATTTAAGAGGCTGAGCAGAGAAAACCCCTCCGCATCCTGGAGAAACAGATGTTCATGCAGAGAGGTGCAGGGAGACAGTTCACGTGGCTGCATATTTGTCATCAGAAAGAGAAGCGGCCAATAATTTGAAGAGCTGAAAGAAAAATCCCAGATGTGCTTTTAATTTCTCTTTCTCTGCTGTTTCCTCTCTTTTTCTTTTCTTCATCTGCCTTTCTTTATATTTCCTTGGCCGAGAACTCCCCCAAGTATGGCTTAGCATTTGGACCTAACAAACTTGCTAATCCCTACAGTGTAGAAGGCAGTTTGATTTCTTTTCTTTTTTTCCTGTTTTTGAAATAATACACAAAGTTCATGATTTTTTACCTTCTAATCTTTCATCAGTAGAAGAAATGCAAACTCCCAGGATTGATTAATGCTACAGGCTTGCCCTGCGTGATGGAGACAGACAGCCTTCACTGCTGCAGCCTGCCAGACATTGAGACTTCAGTCCTCCAGTTAATTTTGGTCGACTGTTGAGTGTTTTCAAGGAGTGAGAATGAGTGAACTTTTATATAAAGCCATGTTGCTGCCATATGTATCTTATTTATCTAAAACAGCACAGTGTATTTGTGCACTGTTTTTAATTGATTATAATCTAACAATAGAGTGCCATTACCAAACATTTCGATTGACTACCACTATGGGTATGCTCTGTCTCCTCGTCCAGAGCATCCCATTTCCCTGCCATACTTGTAGCAACCTCATAATTTTCTTACTCATTGTCATTTCTTCCTTTGTCCTTGGATTTGTTTTTCTTCTTCCTTACCTCTCCTCCCTATTCCCTTCTCTTGTTACTAAAACATGTATCACAATTTTTCTCTTTAAGCTAATGTGATAGTATTTCCCAATATGGTTTATACTGGCACCAAATCTATTAATATTTTGTAACTGATACAAAGTAATATTAAATGCAGCTTTGCATGACAGTTACATAGACCTGGTTGCAGGTCCGTCACTAATTATGAGTTCATTTGGCCCAAACCCTGCAGGAGGCTTCTCTTCCCCCAATTGGCGAGCATGCTCGTGTGTGCTTTGCAGTCACCTAGCTTTGTTGATGTGAATGTGTAACAGGCTTCCTATTCTCTTTTTATAGTCCAGAAATATTAAGTCGTTCACAGACTCAGACACTGGAAAGTTTGGAATTCATTCCTCATCATGTTGGAGCCTTCTCTGTGGAAAAATATGATGACATCAAGAAATACTTAATAAAGGTAAACCAGAGTCACCAGTGCACTGGACTTGTGAGTTAATGTGCAGCCACCTCCATGTGTCATCCAAGCCTGTGTGCACTTTCTGCGACTCTGATCCTTCACTTTCTTGGTATTTCTTTTGTTAATCCTCAGGCCACTAAGTGCACATTTCTATACGAACACTGCCCTATTACCACAATAGAACTTAAGTTTTGTAATGTGTTCAAGGGGATGCTTAAGAACTGGGGTAGAAGGAGCTGGTGGCGCAGCAGGTTAAAGCGCAGCACTGTGAAGCTGGCTGCACTGCTTTGGTGCAATTTCAATCACCTGCCTTGGAGGTGACCCACATGGCACAGCAGTCCTCTCCTGTCTAGCCCGCTGCTCCCCTCAGCAGTGTACTTCATCCATCTGCCTGATCTGCTATCCCTTCTGTCTCTGGTGCATCCTCTCACCGCCCCTGCACCTCTAGCCCGCGCCCCAGTTCTTGTATGCATAAATAAATAAATCTGAAAAGGAAAAAAAAAGAACTGGGATAATTTGAAATGGCTTTTTGTTGGTAACATTAGCACTGGAGATGATAAACAAAGTAGCCTGCCCTCACCCCTTGGTTATGCTCTCTTCTCTTCTGTAAGATCAGCTATTGTTCAAAGTATTACATATATTGATATGGGGAACAGTAAGGAATCGTAAAAGAAAGAAGGGGAAGGCCTCCCTGGTGGCCTAGAGGTTTAGTTTCAGTGCCATCACCCATTACTGCTATGGCCTGAGTTTGATCCCAGCCAGGGAAGTGACGCACATGGTGCAGGAGACCTCTCCTGTTTACCGCGGCTCCCCTCAGCATTGTATCTCAGTAAATCCTGTTCTGCTCCCCACATCTCTGGTGAATCCCCTCACCCTTCACACTTCTAGCTTATACTATCCCCAGTTCTTCTGTATATAAATAAATTATATATAAAGAAAGAAATCAGGGAAATTGCAGAGTAGCTGTTTTACAGCATAAGCAGTTAGTTTTCTTCAAGGTAACATTTCTCTTTGTGTGTGAAGTTTGAAGTTTGTTAGAACCTTTTCTGTTACAATATATTAATATATTTGAAGCTGATTTCTCACAATGTTGAAAGGATTCTGTGATTAAAAATATTAGGGGTGCCTATTCCATATTATTTGGGTAAACACTCAAAAATATTGATTTCTAACATTTTGAAAATTGTTTATATTTATGATTTACTTCTTACTGCTTGAATGTTTCTGTGCTCAATGCACATTGGCTTCATTGCTTCTCTTCCTGTTCAGGCCTGTGACACTCCCCTGCACCCTCTGGGCAGGCTCATGGAGACCCTGGTCGCGGTATATCGAATGACATACGTAGGTGTGGGAGCCAACCGTAGGTTACTGCAAGAGGCTGTGAAGGAGATCAAGTCCTACCTTAGGCGGATTTTCCAGCTGGTGAGGTAAGAGATCTTTCATTGAAGCCTGCAAGTTGTAGAATCTTCATCCTGAATCAAGAGAGTACAGTTCTGTGAAGAATCAGTAAGGTTCCAGTCTAGCATAGGAATTACTCATTAAGAAAATGGTTTTATGGTGTAGATTTGTAAGTGTATTAAGTAATAAAAACATGTTTTTGCTTTGTGCTATAAATATTTTTTTAAGATGACACTTAGCCATTGTTACTTACTTTGTGTTTCTCTCACTCATTAAATACTATAAAGACTAAAATAAATGTGTTTTTTTTTTGTTTGTTTTAACTTTGGTAGTAAATGTAGTTGTCTTATTTGGGTATGATCTTTAGGCAAAATCCTGCCTGTAGAACCTGACCACAGGTCAGAACATGAAGTCTTTTCCCTGAGTATTTATGTCCTATCCCTTGACAGCAACATTATTTTTGTTCAATGTTTTAACAAATATTTATTGAGTAAATCTATGTGTTAACTACCATACAAGGCCCAAGAGGAATTAATCAGTAAATAATATCCATCCCCTCTAAAGAAAATGTGTGCTCTTATGGGCCTTACATTCTAGTGGGGACAAAGAAAACAATATATTGTATGTCAGATGATAAATACGACAGAGAGAAAGAGGAAGAGGCTGGAGGTAAGATATGGTTCTAAATACTAGACCAAGGAGGCCTAAATAATAAATGAATATCTGCATGTAGACTTCAAAGAGTGAGAAGCAAGCAAGTATATTTACAGCATTTCAGTGGCAAACTGGTTAGAAACTTGTGAAATTCAAGGTCTTTCATTGGGTTTAAGCCAACAAGTAGCTACTATATTGAGATGACTACATACAAGTTTATGAATTGGTGCCAGAAAACTTTCTTATATTATTAACTTCCAAATTAATAAATGCATTTGGAAACGTTTCATGTTTTCAACAAGCAGTGTGACCAACTAAAAAAAGGTCCCTGGGAGCAAACATTTCATCTTTGACATTAGCTAGAGATGATTGTGATGGTTTTAGTTTTCTCACTTGTAAAATTAGAGGCAGAGGCAGGGAAAAGTATAAGTCTATGAAAACAGACAACATTACAAACTACCTTTAAAGGGTTATGATTTAGGTATGTAAAAATAAAGAAGTTAATACACATGTTTGTGCTAAAGCCGATTATTGCATAGAAGAGATCAAAGATAAAATCTAGGGCAAGTTCAAAACCTAGGAAACAATCAATTCTCAACAGCTTAGCAGCTGGTCATGTGGAAAAACTTTTGACTTCATTTTTTGAAAAATATTTAAATTTTCACATTAATTGGATTTTTTTTTCTTAATTTTGAATGTTTAAGAGTTTTCCACTGGTGCTTGTTTAAACTGTAAAAACAATTATTGCTGCTCAAAGAGCTAATACAAATTGAACTCAGATAAGATTCATCAGTAAGAAAAGAATATGTGGACCAGAATTCTTATTCTTTAGTAACTCGACCCAAAAAAAAAAACCAAATACATGACATTTCTCTAGTGATATTCATTAGCTATACAGGCTCAGTTTTATACTACAAGAAATATAAGTTAAGGATTTCAGGGAATTAAAATATTTTCCTGACAGAAACTTTCACTTCATGGGTCCTTAAATAGCTTTAATAATGAAATGTGATTTTGCACTCTTTTTAGCCACTCAAGAAGTAAAATTGTGTAATTATCTTTTTCAAATTATTCCTTAGGTTCTTGTTTCCAGAGCTTCCTGAAGAGGGCAGCACAATTCCACTCTCCGCTCCTCTGCCAACGGAAAGGAAATCCTTTTGTACTGGGAAGTCAGATTCCAGATCTGAGTCACCAGAACCAGGGTAAATGGAGTTGGGTGGAGAGAGTGAAGAAAGGATGGTCTTATCCCAAAAATTCCAAGGAAAAGCTCTTTTCTTCTACATCTGTTTTCTTATTTCTAAAATGACTAGGTGACCTCTTAGGTCCCTTCTAGATCTCAAGTTCTATCAGCTACACCACATAAAGGTACAGCCACAAATTGACTGGAGCTGAGACTCCTGAGCAAATTAACATCACATTGACCTAGGACAACCTAGAGAAAGCAGCTGCAAAACAAAAGAATTCATGTTTGGTCCAAGATAAAACTCTGTGGCCATTGGTAAACTCATGTTAATTCCACATATAAAAACAGCATATTACAACTGCTTCTTTACTCAACCTTTCCCATCTTTCATCTTCTAGAATCCGAAGTGGTTGTTGATTCCGTATTCATTGTTAATATTAATGCTGTTGCTTCTTCTTCAATGTTTTGTAGTTATGTAGTTACCAGTTCTGGATTATTGCTTCCTGTGCTACTACCTCGACTCTACCCCCCACTGTTTATGCTATATGCTCTGGATAATGATCGTGAGGAGGATATTTACTGGGAATGTGTTTTGAGACTAAATAAGCAGCCAGATATTGCTCTTCTGGGCTTTCTTGGGGTACAGAGGTAGGTGCAGTTGTTATGAGTAGAACTAAGTGGTTTAAATTGAAAATACAAACAGAATTTGGTGTACTGATGTCTATATATATATGATTTATAATTTACTTAGTCTCATGTGTCTTACTAAAAAAAATTCAATAATTTTTTTCTGAGAAATTTTGAAGATGAATATGAAAATTGATTATTTATCTAAATGTATTTTCTATTTATGTGTGTATTTGTAAAAACTAAGTATGTGTCGTCCTGCCTGATAGTTTGTAATTTTTTAATGCAAAATCCAGATAATGACACATTCTCATAAAATACTAATTTTAGTCTTTAACATTCTTCTTTTCTATTTCTTCCCATCTTCCTCATCTACAATTTCTATTTTAGAAATTGTAGAAGTGCTCTTTTAGTTGTAGGGCATTGTGTCTCATTGTGGGAATGCTAAGTTATGTTTTCTTTCTAGTGCTATGATGAAGTTGCTTTCCCCATTACTCAATAATTATATATTTGTGCTATTAAAAAAATCTTAATTGAAAAGTAAATATTTTTCAATGAAATAATAATAAATTGAACTTAAATTGGATGAAGGAAAGATTTTGGTAAATGTTTATAATATCTGAAATATGTAGAGTCCTTGATGTATATAGAATTACAAATACCTTTAGCAACACTACAAAAATTGTTAAATTACTTCTGGAATGTTCATTACAACTTAGCTTATCTTTGAAAGTTATTTCTAATGGGTGCAGGGAAGCCAGTGTTAATCTACCGTAAATAACGTTTTATATTAACAATTTATGGATTCCATTGTAGGAAATTTTGGCCAGTGACCTTGTCAATCCTGGGAGAGAGTAAAAAGGTATAGTAGATTTACTTTCCTCAGCAAATATTCTTTTCCTTGGTATGAGAGATTTAACATGGCAGAAAAATTACATATTACTTTGGGAGACAATCTATTCAAATCTTAGTTATGCACCAAAGATGTGCCAACAGTATCATTTATATCTATTGTTACTGCCAAAGATAGCTTCCCTCTTTGATCACTATTAATAATTTTCTTTTTGTAGGTTTTACCAACCACAAAAGATGCATGTTTTGCCTCAGCTGTAGAATGTCTTCAGCAGATCAGGTAATTTCTGATTTGATGTAAAATCACATAGTTCAAAATGGTGATCTGTTAAAATATTGATGAGATCTTATCTCTACTGTATGCTAATTGCCTCCTTCCACTCTCACGTGGTGTCAAACTCAGCCTGGAGGTCGGAAAGGTCCTTTTGAGATGTCAGGGTTTTCTTTTATACTATAAGGCCCTTGTATTTCCAGTAGTGGTAAAGAGCCTACCAGAAATTTTCTGCACAGTCACATCTTCAGCCAAGTGGAAATATAGCATGCTTCTCACTCTGAGAAGAGCATGTTAGGAAAATAATATTCTACATGTGTGAAAGGGGATGAGCTTTAACTTAGTGGATTTCTCCATATGAGCCATATATAGTGGATGCTTTTCTCAAAAGGTTGCTCCTTCTAGCACTCGGCCAATGTGTTCACTGTGAGGCCTGAGGGTCCTGGAAGAGTTCATTGTTGAAATGTTAATACCAAACAGTCGTATTAAGAATTAATAGAATTGCTTTTTTTAACAATAGCACAACATTTACTCCATCGGACAAACTTAAAGTCATTCAGCAGACTTTTGAAGAGATCTCTCAGAGTGTCCTGGCGTCACTTCAGGAAGACTTCTTGTGGTCCATGGATGACTTGTTTCCTGTCTTCTTATATGTGGTGCTACGGGCCAGGTGACCACACCTTTCTGATTTTAATATTAGTGATCATTATCTTAACAAGTCTGCACTTAGATTTTTCTGAGATAATGACAGAAATACACTCCCCTTCTGTTACAGTATTCTTTTTGATGAGCTGTTCTTTCTTCCCTTTCCCCTCAGCTAGATTCAGAAGGAAATGCCCATATGAGCAGAAATAACTGAATGTCATTTTCTCTTGGACAGGATTAGAAATTTAGGCTCTGAGGTGCACCTCATTGAGGATCTAATGGACCCATATCTCCAGCATGGGGAGCAGGGTATAATGTTCACCACCTTGAAGGTAAGATAGAGGTTATTTAGCATTTTTTTTAAATCTTAACATTTTTCTTTCATGTGCCATATTATAAATCTGTCAACCATTTTGTTCTCTACAAAAGTTTAATGCAGATATGAAGTGCCTTTAAAGCATATACATTGTTAATATTTCGAAATGATAGTAAAGAAAACTGGAATGAGCCAGTTATTCTTCAGACTCCTAAAGCAGATTATTCATTACCCAAAGGTAGACCATCTTTTTAAAACTAACGCTGGGAAAGAAACAGAATTCTTAGTGTCCAAAAAGGAAGTGTCCAACAGCAGAACTATTTAATGGAACGACCTTATAACAGAGAGCAGTATATATGTGAGGAGTTTAAATTGCATCTTCCCTCCCCCCGCCCCCTTTCCTTTGTGTTTACTGTAACCAAGAGATTACAAAAGAAATTCTCTGGCCTGGGTGTCTCTACTCACTTTTCCCATCTTGAATTTTCTTGGAATTTGGTCAAATCACTGTGAAGTTTGTTGAAAGAACAGCAAATAAAAATGGGGAAAAAACACTTCTGAAGATTGAGAGGGAAAATAGAACAATTCTGTCATTAGAAAATTATTATGAAATTGCAATTAAGACAGTATATTACCATTAAAGGGATAGGTGAATACTTGAACAGAAGGAATAACCCCATCTAAACCAGTATAATATTTAAAAAATCACATATGAAAATGGAAACATCGTCTACAAAAATGGAGAAGAATTATTTAATCAATGGGCAAAGTATCAGGATAACTTATTATTCTGTTGGGATGGTGGAGTTATCCACATAGAAAATTAAGATGCTTTATAGAGTTTAAATAGAGAAAAAGGAAGAGGAAAAACGGTTGGCAAATTAAAATGAGAAAAGAAACTAGAACTTAATGTCAGGTTTCTGGCTTGGATAGATTCTTAAAAAAAAATTACAACTTAAATAACAGCATCACATTCCTATTAAATAGATTGGAAATGGTAAGGAGACTGAGGGGAATATTGGCCACCAGTGACTTTACATAATTAGTATTTATGTTACATGCAGAGACATCTCTAAAAATGTCAACAAGGAAGAAACTGACTTAATACATTTATATAGGAAAATGCCCAGTCTGTAATGTAGTCATGCAGATTTGAGATGTCGTCGTGCCTGGTAATAGAGAAAATATGTTTCAAAATCATATCCCAAGGTGGTGGGATTATGATGAAGTCAGTATTATTCCCTCATTGCTGTTAATGCATGAAATGGCAGTCATCCTTTTGAAAAACAGTTGCCATTAACATTGAAGTCATCAAAAATGTTTGTAAAGTGACTGAGTAATCCTATCCCTGGAGATTTATCCTAAAGAATAAAGAATGGAAAACATCTTATTTATATGAGATGTTTTTTATAGTGTAACTCCCAAACCTAAATACTTTTCAGAGTCAGCTGGGCATACTTATTAATAATGTATTTCTGGAAATTCTGGCTCATTAAGTCTGGCATGATAGTTAATCTATGTCTTTATTAAACATAATAAAAGATTCTGATTACCATTATTTATATTCCTTGTAATGATTAACACAATCTAAATATATAATTAATAGTGATTTAGCAAAGGTATTGCATTTACTAGTGACAAATACAGTTGTGAACACTTCTGTTTGTTTTAGAATTAGAGGTAAATGAACAAAATTTTACCCCTCCTAATTATAACTAGGCACAGCAGACTTTGGGTGGGGAAGGGAAAGAAAGCAGAAAAATGAAAGTGATAAATTTTGTTGGGCAATTACCATTACCAGGGTTTCATTTCTGTAGTCCCATGAGCATTGCTATGTTTATGTAATCTCTTTCAAAGTAAATTTGAAATTTTTTGAACTTTTTCCCCAGGCATGTTACTACCAGATCCAGCGTGAGAAGCTTAACTAGGCTGCGCGACAGCTTGACAAGTGGATTATCTAATCAGTGTGGCACAGCACCATCTGGCTTCCTCTTGGTGGTGTTGGAACTAGAATGTGTTGTTTTGATGGTTATTTCTGAGCCTTACTAATGATCAGAGCTCTGAGCCCAGGAAAAAAAACAAAAACATATTTTAAAGGGACTATTGAAAAAGAAGCAGAAGTCAGGTTATACCATTCTCTGGCCTATGTTAGGTTCCACAAACACCTGCTGTTTGAAAGGAGAAGATATTCTTTCCTCTAGTAAAGAGTATGCCAGCTATGTAAGATAATAAGAAAAGTTCAGTATAACATCTTACATCCAAGAAGCTGTGAAATATTTTCCCAAAAGTTTCTGGTTTGCCTGCAGTTCCCCCAGACCCCTTTGCAAAGAGCAGATTGTACTTGAAACCACAGTAACCACATTTTGCCTTCCTGGAGTCCTTGGAATCATGTGTGCATCATGCTTTGTTGCTGGGGAAGGGGAAAGAGGAACTTTTCAACTGCAGTTTTAACTTTTTTTAAGCTTTTCCATCTGGGTGTTCCTGATGGGAGAGGTCCTATGCACTGACTGCCACCCCACCCCCAAACATGGCTGCGTCCCCGAATATCCTCAAACATGGGCTAGTCCCATAGGAGCCTCCTACTGGAAGAACGAGACGAGGAATTGTGTTCTTGGTTTCTTAACGGTGCCACAGAATGAATACACTGGAATTCAGACGCTGGCTCTGGCTCCGCCCCATCCACGTGAACACGCCGTCCCCCGCGGCCCGGGAGGGCGCGCCTGCGCAACTTCTGCATGCAGGCTGTGTTTGGAACAGGACTAAAGACTGGGGGATATGGACACAGTGAACTGCATCCACCCTTGACTTGCCTGGTGTTGATTCTTCCCTCTACCTCACACTGAACTCACAGAGGGGACGAAAAAGGAAATAAGCTCTGGCTTTCCCGCCTCAAAAGTGTTGTGACACTTCATCATTTTAGTGTTTTGCTTTTTGCCCTTTCTTTTTCCCCAATGTGGATAACACTGTACAAGTAACCCTAGTAGCTGTTTTGAATAACATAGGTGCTCTTCCTCATCTCATCCCCTACACACCATGGTGAGCGTACGGACTGTGTTTCTGATTTAAGTGAACATCAGCATATCTGAATTAGGTTTGAAAAAGGATCATGGTTTCTGCTCTACTTTATAATCAAGACAAGTGTTTATTAAAATACTGTTTTGGGATGTTGGCTGTAATGTAACAGCAATTTTCATAATAAAAAGCATTCATCTTTATAAGGTGGTTTTATGATTGCAAAAAAAAAAAAGACACGTACAGAAGATCAAAAGTTTAAAATAAACCCAGAGTTCCTTTTTTTTTTTTTGACTCACAGTGTAGTCTGTGCTTCTTTATACTGGCCTTAGAGGTTCGCCTGGAGTTTTAGAGGTCACAATTTAAAAATAAATAAATAAACTTGCCAGCAAAGAGCAAGTGAACTTTGTGATCCTAGCTAAATCCAAGGGCAAAGGTCTTAGAAGAACTTATTTATTTGAATAAGAAGTTACTGGTTATTTTTTTCTCTCAGACAGATTCAAGGAAGGACAGTGAGAATTTAAAATCTTGGTTAGGAATATTAGGCATTAATTTAGCACCTCCCATTTGTAGTGTCTCCCCAAGAAGCCTCTCCTGTCCTAGAATGTCCCTTGAGAGGGACCAACACTTAAAGATTACTTCATGTTGAACACCTGTTTCCATCAGGGAACATTTTGACTTTTAAATAAACACAGATTTCACATTTAGCTTTTTTTTTTAAGATTTATTAATTATACTTACAGAACTGGCATCCAGGCCAGAGGGGCAGTAGGCGAGAGGATTCACCAGAGACAGAGTGGTGATCAGAACTGACAGTACACTGCTGAGGGGAGCAGGCGGGTCAGGAGAGGTCTGCCACGCCATGTGGGTCAGCTCCCTGGCTGGGCATTGAACTTGTGCTGCGGTGGCTTCAGAGAGCTTCATAATGTGCTTTAACCCATTGTGCCACCAGGGAGGACCCTCACATTTAGCTTTTAATGGGACAGTCGCTGAATGTCTTTGACTTCTTAAGAGAGAGACATAGGGGTAATTGTGGAAATGGACAAAGAAAGGCATGAGGCCCCCTGAGTAATTCTGACAAGATAGTAGGCTGTCTCAATACTAAGAAAAACATGTTAAAATTCTTTTTATTGGTGTCTCCAGTGACACAGTCCCGATACTTTAGATTCTTCATATTTTATGCTTCTTAGGTAACAACTAAAATTCAGTTCTCTTGGGGAAAGTCCTAAGTCTCCAAGCCAGTGTCTCTAGTGGAAGCACTGTGCTTTCATGTGACAGGACACAGCTCTCTCCCATGCGTGATCCACACCTGCAGCAGCACGCGGCAGATGTCAACCCCTTGACACCTGTCCGGTAGAGAAGGTGCGGCTGTGGTTTGCTCACTGTTGAAGCACTTGCCTGCTCAGTCCTTGTGCCCTTTCCTATCATACTGCCAGAGACATCTTCTCATAGCTGGCTTATGCATTAAAAGTTCATGAAGTAAAAATGAATTGAAAATGAGAACTAATAAGATGCATGCTTTTGATGAAATATGCTTTGCTCAAAACAATCACAAGTGCATCACCTTCCCAGCTGTGTTTTCATCCATAGTGGAGAGGAAGGAAAGCCTTATGTTTAATTTAGGCCAACAGGAGCTGAGAAGCCCCTTTGCCTTGCAGACAGCCATATGCTGTCTCACTGTCTGTGACATGTGCCTTCAAACATTCTTCCTCCATACCTTCCTGCAGTAATAACATTTTCAAATAAAGGAGCTCCAGTGTGAGGCAGAATGGGTTAACTAAGTTCAGAACAGTACATCAGTAGGGGGGGGTTGCCGGGGAGAGGGTTTCCCAAAAGGAACTAATACTTACAGGGCTCATACTAATTGAAGAGTTTGCCCTCATTTTCTCACCCTAACATGAGAAAATAAGATTGATAAGACAACTGGCTCTCCAGTATCTCCACATTTTTTTTCTTTCATCAAAATTTCTCTCTTCTGTTGTGAGGTGGCTGTTATTCTGATACAATCAACACTAATACTGTTTTTGGTTAGCACATAGTGTTAACTATGTGCTGGCAATTTGGGAGAAAAAATACTCAAGTGAAGGTTGAAAATTATTTTAGACATTTCAATGCAAGGGATACATAAGAAGATTTGTGACCAGGGGAGGCTTGTGAATAACTTAGTGGTTAAGCTGGGTCAGGCTTCTGTGGATTAAATCAGAGGATGTGCAAGGTGATTTTATTTAGAACAGTGAAGTGACTTGGGCAGTATTTTCAAACACTTTCCTCTGGATAGAAGCAACACCGCATGTTTGCAGTCCTGCAGGTAAGAGACCCTGCCAAATTATCCTCAGTTAGCAGAAGAGATCTATAAATGTCTGGTCTTCTGCTAATTGTTTATAGCTAATATAATTCTGAATAATTCAAATGGTTTAATTTTATCATAACCCAAATTATGCAGTATTGTATGATTTCAAAAGAGTTGTTTTAAGAAGTCATTTTTTAAAGTATGACCATTTAAAAAATCATTTTAAACTTGTTATAATTCTACTAAATGGCATTTTGACGCCGAGAAAGCTAGTTGCTTTTTTTGTACACACAGTATCTCATTCAGTTTGCAAGTGTTTTTTCGGGCTCTTTCTAGTAGAAAGCATTGTTTTGAAAAATGAGCATAATAGTTGTAGGAGCTGTGGCATTATAATTGTAATCACTACGTTTCAAAAGTTTATGAAAATACTGATTAATTTTAAAGTGATTGTTAGGAAAGAATTCCTCAGGTCTCAGTAACACAAATGCAACTTCTAGGTTAATGGGTCATCCTTCCTGCTACTTAACAGTCCAGGATTGCAAATGGTTGGGGATTTAACTAGTCTCAATCAAGAATTCTCATGAGGCAGCAACTGACAAAGTTGGTCCAGAAGCATGAAAGGAAGACAAGGAAGGGGCTTCAAATTGTGCCCAGCTCTCTAATCTTCCAAGACTTAGTTACAGAAATGAGCACAATTTTTTACTTCACTCAAAATTTTAACTGCACACCTCTTCGAGTGTCAAGATTCCTTAGCTATAAAATGAAGGTTGCATTTGATTACCTCCTGTGATTTCAAATCTATATCAAAGCTATAAGAAAGGAGGTTGAAGTATAACCAGGCTGAGGAGGGGAGAAGCCTGGGCTGTAAATCCCTGCTGCCTCTTACCTCCAGTTTGAGGTCTTCAGCCGCCTTGAACTCCTCAGAGTGTTCTCAGACTTTTACCTCTAGATTTTGGCCTCTGGCTTTCCTGCCTCTTCCGAAGCACTGTCACACATGCTGAGGTGACAGCAGGGGCATAACAAACGAGGTGTCTGCTCTCCAGACCCTCTAGACAAGACTGACTGGAACTGAACAGGCTAATGCCTAAGAGATCTGTGGAGCATGGTAACTGTTAGGAGGACAAAAGTTTACAGTTGTCTTAGTTGCCTGAGGAAGAAAAGAGAAAATCATTTTCTGGGCTACTATGCCAAAAATGCCAGAAACTGGGTGGCTTACATGGTAATGAATTTCTTCTATGTTTGTTCTGACTTTCCCTTCTCAATTCCCTCCCTTGGAAGGTAGGTGTTTGATTCAATAGAAGCTTAAAAATTGGAGCAAAGGAAAAGGCAGGTTTAATTGATTCAGCTGGGCTTGGCAGCATCCTAAGATTGGGTGAAGGTGAACAAAACAAAGCGCATGTTCTAAGTTCTGGTAGAATCTAGCAAACTGTAGTACTTACGAGCATGGATGGGAAACTGCCTGATACCTCTTAGCAGTTTGCTGTGTTGCTATTCTCACTGCCTTATAATTTAAAGACAATGTAATAATGATCTAATTTTTTCTGGACAACCTCTCTGGCTCAACCCCACAGTCTGTCTAGCTTCTAAATAATGGTTTTCAGCCATCTAAATTTCAATATCTTAGTCTTTTAACAACTAATTTGAAATGCTCCTCAAAAAAAAAATCCTGGATTATGGATGGTTTCACTCATAGCAGGAGCATAAAGGACCAGCAGGGAAAATAATAATAATGAACAACTATATACCAGAAACATTATAAAGGGGTAGAATGGGGAATGGAGATGCACTGGATTATGGTGATGGCATACGGGTGATTTGATGATGGGAAGCCCACCGGGATTACAACCGAGATGGAAAAAGGCACAAAATGATGTAAAAATAAACTTCAGAGCGTGGGTCGCAATGAGCTGGAGTAGGCTGTTCACTGAAATCTTCTTGCGGTAAGGCAACCTCCTAACCCAGGATTGTCTCTGCCTCTGAACGTTTACTTGAGCAAGATATAAACTACGCTGCTAGGCTACTATTTTTTTGAGTTTCTGTTTCTTGAATATCGGAAAGGAACCCTAAGATTGTGTTTTAGCAGGAACCCATAACTCTTGAAATTGTGAGCAGTGACATGAAACACTATGTTACCAAAGAGAGGTCACAGAACACCTGAGTGGAGTTCACCAGGGAAGTTTCTCCTGGGCTCTGAATGATGGTGAAATCAAGTTGGCAAAGAAAATAAATATAATAATTACTGCTTGTTAAAAAAAAAATAGAGGGCAACAGGAATGTTTTAAAAAGCAGTAGTTTTCTCCTTCACACAGCTAGTGATGGTTAGTTTCGAAAGTTAATTTACAAGGCAGAACTTTTTATTTGATGTATATCCCTGAGAGTAGCACAATGTCTAACTTGCTTAATAAATACCGAAAATATATCCCAATATCCTAAGAGTTGTGTGGCCAGCATGACTGAGTGAACTATTTGATTTTATCAGTCTGCTTCTAGAAGCTCCAGCGGATGATACAGTCAAACAAAAAAACAGATCCGCCCATAAAGAACATGAAGTTTTCTACAGTGACCACTCCGGAGAGCGGTATGTTGCTTCAGGATTACTTCTTAGACCAAAAAAGTCTTATAATCTGACTATGCGATCAAATGAGTGGGCAGAAATTCTGATAAATTTAGTGATTGCTTTAAAGAATGTGTCATTCATTTCTGAGTGTCCTGCTAACATTATCAGTGTTAAGTCCTAGCAATTATCAGTGTTAAGTCCTAGCACTGAACACTGATGGAAAGAAATTGAAATGGTGAATTCACAACCTTACCCCCCTATCCCACAATGCTTTACTTAAATCTACCACCTCCTAACTTATGTACATTAAAAATATCACTTGTGTGCCCTCCCTGGTGGCACAGCAGGTTAAAGCACAGCACTGAGAAGCTAAAGCCACTTCCGCATGAGTTCTATTCCCACCCAGGAGGTGATCTACTCCTGACCCGCCCGCTGCTCCCCTTAGCATGTACTTCATGAGTTGGCCTGTTCTGTTCCCCAGTCTGTCTCTGGTGAATCCTCTCACTGACCCCTCTCCTTTGGCCTATACACCAGTTCTGTATGCATAAATAAATGAATTTTTTTTGAGATTTTATTTATGCATACAGAACTGGGAGACAGGCCAGAGATGCGGAGGGTGAGAGAATTCACCAGGGACAGAGTGGGGAACAGAACAGGCAGATGGACGAAGTACACTGCTGAGGGGAGCCGCGGGCGGGTCAGGAGAGGTCTGTCATGCCATGGGGCGAGGATCTCTTCATGCTGAAGTGGCTTTAGCTTCTTAGTGCTGTGCTTCACCCCTCTGCGCCACCAAGGAGGGCCAAATAAATAATTTTTTTTAAAAATCACTTGCAACAAATATGAAAACACACCAAAAAAACATTTGCTAAAATTATATTTAGCCCCTAATCTAATCAGTGGAATCCCAAGATTTGTTATAATAAAAGCCTACTGGGAAAAAGAAAGAAAGAAAGAAAAAAGTCTATCAGGAACAAGAGTGTTTGAGTAACACTTTGAATCAGAATTTTCAGAAACGGTAAAGTCAAGTAACTATATTTGCGTTAAAGGAAGATCCTGAAAGATCCAGGAAACAACGAATAAACCAAAGTCTGGTGAGACTGGCAAGGGAAAAGCGTTATTATTCTTGTAACGTCTTAAACAACTGTGTGCTCCGATGGAGCTTTCTGTCCCTGTGAGCAACCACCTGTGGGAAAGCACGCATTTTCCCTTTTCCCACAGGGGAAGCGGGCTTCAGAGAGGTGACTTTCTGACGTTCACACAGCAAGTGATGGGGAAGACTTGAAGGCTTAAATCCGGTTGTCCCCACTCCCCGTAAGCTCCTCCGGCACGTCCCAGCTAAGTCGCCTTTAACATTTACACCTGACTTTCCTGACACCCCCACTGGAGACCCCTCCTTTGCCCTCTTTTCTAGATCCCTCCCAGGTCCTGCGGTGTGTGCTGCAAGACCCAGATGTGTTCTACAGCAGGGACATGGCTGGGGTGTGTCTCCTGTACGATCTCCTCCGCTCTCCGTGGCTGCAGGCTCTGCTGAAGGTGAGCACTGTGGTGGAAGGACTGGTTTCTGCGGACACAGACACTGCTGACCCAACATGACACTTGTCAGCAGAAAAATTCAGCTTGCCATAAATTCTTAAAAGGCCATCCTCAGAGATGCGCACAAGCCTCTTAGCTTAGGAAGGAACTAGCAGGTGGAGAAGAATATGGCAGCTCTTTTCTATTGCCCTCCTCCAGCACTTTGTCTTTGAGGTCAGCTCAGGAAAATTAAAAAATGCTTTTAAAAATATTCCCCATTTTGGAATGGGATCAAAAAAGGTGATGGCACATGGGTGATCTGGTGATGGGAAGCCCATGGGGATTACAACTGAGATGGAAAAAGGCACAAAATGATGTAAAGATAAATATATTGTTTTAAAAAATTGTGATTGGAAAAAAAAATTGCCCATTTTTTTAAAATCAGAAAATGAGCTATCTATATCTTAAGTTTTACTTATCCTGAAAATTTCTTCCTGCTCAGAATTTTGCCTGAAATCTCATACACTATACAATAGCATGTATTTTTCTACCATGATGTTCCTGTAAACAAGAGTTATTAAGAAAAGTCCCTTTAAAGTTATTTTTAGGGTGTGTTTTCTTCACATAAGTATGAATTCCTTCAGACATATACGCAGAAGTGAGATATACAATGGAATATTATTCAATCATAAAATAGAAGGGAGGCCTCCATTTTGCAACAACATAGATGGACCTAGAAGGCATTAGGCTAAGTGAAAAATTTCAACAATGTAAGACAAATACTATACATCCTTATTTGCATGTTAACATCTTAAATAGTGGAACTCATAGAATTCGAGAGTACAATGATAGTTGTCAAGGGTTGGAGGTGGTCTCAGGAAGGAAGTACGGGGAGATGTTGGGTCAAATGGCACAAACTTGAAGTTATAAGATAAATTCTGGGGGGTCCAATTGACCTCCTGTTGGCTGTATTTATCAGAGTTGTATTGTATACCTAAAATTGCCAAGAGAATTGATCTTACACATACAATGGTAATTATGTTGGATGATGGAGATGCTAACACAGTAATCTTACTGTGATAATCATGTTACAATATATACATGTATCAGGCCAGCATATTACATGCCTCAAAGTATACGATGTTATACATCCATTACATCTCAATAAAGCTGGGGGGAAACTGCCTGATTTTTTGGTCAGGTATTTTTTAATCTGGAGATTAGCTGAAGTTGGAGTTTTAATGTCATGAACTCCTCTCCTTGCTCATCACTGGTAGGCTGTGTGTGCTTTTTGCTCCCTACATCAGTCATCAGCTGACATCACTTCCAGGAGAACCTCAAGCATTGAGACAGAACAGGGGAGCATAGACCCAAGTGGGCAAAGGCCTTTTTTCTCTGGGAGAGAAATTACTTTCCTGGAACAAGACTAAAGCTTCCCTGGGAGCTGGGCTGACTTTGGTACTCATACAAGCCAAGAACCCAGTGTGGACAGTGTTCTAATGGTCAGCAAAGGCAACGTTGGAATTTTGATGGGAGAATCCGAGGCAAAAAAAAAAAAAAAAAAAGACAAGTGCAGAGTACAGAGAAGTGTATGTGTCCTGGCCTCTTTGTCAGACCCTTTTTTGGACCTGAGCCACAGTGCACATGCCCAGCCCAGCTGCCTATTGCACAGGTTCTTCTAGGTCTCCGCCACCAGATCATTACTGGTCTCCACCTGAAAATCCCACCTTTCATTAGTTTATTTAACAAGAGTAAACATTTGACCTTTTTTTTTTTTTTTAATCAATGAACAAGGTTAGGAAAGATTGATTCCTAGTGGCAGCCTACAATTAAGCCCTGGAAGCACGAAAGCCACCCAATTTGACTTCGTTTCTCTGACAACTAGAGACATTACTAGAGCCCCACTGTGTGGTTGTGGGAATGATTAAGTTCCCTCAAACTGAGAGGGTGATTTGAGTCCAAAGGATGAAGCAGGCATTTCATTTATCACACTTAAAATTTATTCAGGGCACACTTCATACTAACATGAAGAAAAAACACCTAAAAATAACTTCAAAGGGATTTTTCTTAATAACATTTGTTCAGAGGAATATTATAGTAGAAAAATAGATGCTATTGTATAGTATATGGATTTCGGCCAAAATTCAGAGCAAGAAGAAATATTCAGGGTAAGAAAAACTTAAGATACCTAAACATACCTATAGATACCTCATTTTCTGATTTTAAAAAATAGGGAATTTTTTTTAAACATTTTCAATTTTTCTGAGTTGACTGCAAAGACAAAGTGTTGGAGGAGGGGAAAAGAAAATGGAGCTGGACCTGGATGTGAGGCAGGAGCCACACCACCACCCACAGAGGGGTCTTCTTAGTACACATGGTCTTTCTGTGTGACACTAATGACACCAGGGGTCCAGGGAGACTAGTCATAGCATCTGTGCTACTGCCATTAATGGATTCTTGTGTATGGGTCATGAGGGCAGGTTGAAGCACAAGGAAGAATCAATCAGGAAATTGCTTCCACAATAGGGTGCTTACTGGTCACAGGCCCAAGATGATGTCAATATATTGAATAAGAAGCAAATTCCGTTTGGTTTTCCTCCCTCAACACACTCAGACTACCCAACTGCTTGTGATGTTGCCCAGGCTGTTTTTGCCCCTTGGAGAGCCTCAAATGTAAAGTGTTCATTGTCACATTGTCTCAGTCTTCCCCCCACCAATGGCCTTCCCTCAGGTTTATGACTGCCTCCAGGAATTTCAAGAAAAGAAGCTTGTTCCTGCGATACTTCAAACACAGGCATTATCCCATGAGGTGAGAATTTTTAATTCACAGAAACAGCACCATATTACTGTCAATGCTGTTTTGAATGGTTTAGAGACTAATAGAAAAGTTTGGTTGATGGTTATGCATTTAATAAGTGTTTCTAATTGAGTTTTGATAGAAGAAAGAAAATTGACTTGCTAAAACAAAACAAAGCAAAAAACATACTTAGCATGTATCAGTTTCTCTTTTTTCCCTACACTTCAGACTCAATGTACCCTATATGAACAGGGTGATAGTGTTATATTAATGAATCCAAAATTTCTATCTATAATCTGGATCTTTCACTGACCTCCAGACACATATCCACCTGCCTCTTTCCCATCTGACATGGATGTCTAACAGACCCCTTGAACCTCTTCCAAACTGAGTTTCTGGCAATCCCCCCAAACCCAAGGTACTCTTCCCTCTCAACACTGACATCTTTGTTCTTGCAGTACATCAGCCAAAACCTTTGGGGTCATCTTGACTCTCTCTCTCATACCTCACTCTCAATCTGTCAACCGATGTTTCAAAGTAAGTGCAGTATCTCACCCTCTCTACCATGCTACCGTATAAGCCATCATCATCTCTTACATGGGTAGTTGGAATATAGTCTTCTCCCTGATCTCCTGCTTCTATCTTTACCCCTTCTAGTTTGTCAAAGAACCAAAGACAAAAAGATGATTCAAATCACATCACTTCTCTGCTCAAACTCCCCCAATAATGTCCCATATTAGAGTAGCCATCAAAGTCATTACATAGCCAAACACAATGTAGCCCCATCTCTCCTTTGACTTTGCACTGTCTGCTGTCCTTCTGGTTCACTCTGCTTTAGTCATGTTGATATCTTGTCAAGATTCTAATCACAGGCTGATTAGAATCTTGAAATGTTTGTTTTGTCAGAAAGTAGATCTATAAATATATGCCTAAGTCACACTCACAAAAAACAATTAATTTTATTGTTTAGCCCTTTTCATTGAAACAAACATTAAAATTGCTAACCAAGGACATACTAGACATACTCCTGCCACAAGCCCTTAGTACTTCTTATTTCCAAAGCTAGTAATGTGCTTTCTCATAAACCCACATAATTTGCTTCCTCATCTTCCAGTTGTCATTCAAATGTCATCTTCTCACCAAGGCTCTCCCTAGTCATCTCATTTAAAATTGCAATCACCTTGTCAGATTCCTTATCTACTCACCTTCTCTGTTATGTTTCTTCTTAACTCTTCTCATATTAAATAAAACATTTATTTTACTTCTACATTTTACTTATTGCCTGTATCCCCAATAGAAAAAATATATTTCATGAGAATGGGTATTTCTGTCTGCTTTCTCACTGCTATATTTTCATAGATGTTCAATGAATATTTGTCAAATGGATAAGTAAATAGAATCCATTTTATTATTTAATGCCCAAAAATATTAAAAGAAATAGAATAAAAAGGAAAAAACTCTACCTTTAATTCCTAGAAATGAACAACTCAAGTTGTTCTCAGTTGTCCACAGCAAAACACACACATGTATTTCATTCAGTTGTAGTCCTCATGTACTGAGATAAATATTAGTGAACTTCTTGTTTTCATTTTACTCTGTGTAATGATATTGATTTATGAAGATTCACAGGCTGATTAGAATTTGAAAAGTTTGTTTTGTCAGAAAGTAGATCTATAAACATATGCCTAAGTCACACTCACAAAAAATAATTAATTTTATTGTTCAGCCCTTTTTCATTGAAACAAACATTAAAATTGCTAACCAAGTGATAAACCCTGAAATACAATTAACTGTATTCCCATAAGGCACTTGAAGAATGGAGCATCCCATGGGGTTAAGCTGAGTTCTCCAGGTATCTTGAGCTTGTACCTGGAGAAAAATCAGCTACATTAACTTGCCTGTAAAGCATTCACATTAGCAAACAGCTACTTTATTAGGGGGTCAGTGTCTTGAAATTCTGTCAGTTTATATACCAAGCTTGTGATGTACCAGGGCTGGTGCACATGGGATTAGATCAACCCCACATCTTACATTCTTTCTACTGCAGTAAAATTTGGTGAACCAGGAAGGATCCCGAGTTCTGACTTTAAAGACGAAAAAGTGTCGGGGACCAGCCCAAATCTCCCTTTCAGAGGGAGAACAGGCAGAGTCTTAAGGTGGGAGTGGCGTCGTCTGGAGATTCCTTGAAGGAGTAAAGGAGAGTGGGAGCAAGGAAGACATGGAGTCAAAGTTGGGTGCAAGTCTTTCTACTCATCTTTTTAGCAGGTCTTTATTTATATTGTTTGGCAAGTAGTTATAATAATGCATCAGGTAAGTTAATAAGAAATCATAAAAAAGTTATCAAAAAAGTTATCATAAAAGTTCTAAAAAAGTTCTCCCTGGTGGCACAGTGAGTTAAAGCACAGCACTAAGAAGCTTAAGGCCAGTTCCACATGAGTTCGATTCCCGCCTGCCCCGGAGATGACCACATAGCGTGGCAGACCTTTCCTGACCCGTCCCCTGCTCCCCTCAGCAGTGTACTTCGCCACTCTGCCTGTTCTGCTCCCCACTCTGTCTCTGGTGAATCCTCTCACCCTCCGCATCTCTGGCCTGTACCCTGGTTCTGTATAAATAAATAAATCTTTAAAAAAAAAATAAAAGTTCTACAAGTAAATAAGGCTTATCATGCATATCGAGAGGTTTGCATTGATAGAGATAATTTGAAGAGCAAATTGGACAAAATGTGATAAGGAATTTAAATTCATCTTCATCACACTGGGAGTTGGAAAAACTGAGCTGTGACCTGAAGATCCATGGTTTGGAACAAGAACTGGAACTGATGAGGAAAGAATGTAGCAATCTCAAAATAGAGCTACAAAAAGCCAAACAAATGATACTACAACATTGAGTTGAGAAATTAAATATTCTATGGGCATTATATATAGGATTTATAACTATTAAACCATAGAGTTAACGTAAACTATTTCATTTTGAAAAGTTCACCTTTATCTTTTTCTTTAATCATTTCTGATAATACTGATATGCTTTTAATTGTTAGCATAAACTCAGAATTATATAATTTTGTTGTTTAATAAAGTAATTTTTAAAAAGCTTAAAAAAAAAGTTCTAAAGGAAGAAGAGAACAATGCATCCTCTTCCTGACACTTTATGGCACACCAGACTATATATGTTTGTGATAACTTTTATGTATACAGATGTTTAACTATAACTTCAAAGGATAAGTGGCCTGGGAAAGGATTAGCTGTTAGCAAAGTATTTAGGAGTGCTAGGGAAGGAATAAATTGTGTTAGTAGAGTCATCAGTGATAGTCTAAAGAAAAGCTAATGGCTAAATTAAGATTAGCAGAGAGTAGTTAGTCTTTGTTTTAGATAAAGGTTAATTAAGACTAGCAGGGAGTAGTTAGAGATTGTTTAAGAAAAGGGTAAATTAAGAGGAAGTCACACAGTTATATATTAAGCAAAACCTGTGTCAATCATGTTAGGAAATTGTCCATGGGCCCTTATGCCCTGGGAGTTTTATCTGAGATTTGCTTTTTGTTTTAAAAGACAAAGGAGTCTTGATGTTCAAGGGGTCTTATCTCTCCAGGAGCTTGTCTTTTGTCCCCAGGCAAAGAAGAATTTCCTTCCCTGGGGTGTCTCATACTTTGCCCCAGCCAGGTAGACAATTTATGAAGCTAAGGCAATCCAGTTGCAAACTGATGGTTGCTCAGAATATTTTTTATATTATGATTATACAAAAAAAGGGAGGTCATAACATAAGTTAGCAATGGAAATTCTGATTTTTCCAGAGCATTTCCCTTCCATCTGGAATTTGTCAGTTGACAGACATTTCATAGCTTGTGTCAAAAAAGCCCTAAGAAAATCTATTACCATGGCTAGTCAGTATATCTATTATACAACCTGGTAAGGTAAATAAGTGGTAAAGATATCTTAAAATTTCAGAATGTTGTGTTCCATCAACCAGGTCATGGAACTATTACATGAAGCCCCAATTTCCCATGAGATCCAAGAACTGAAACAAATCCTCCAGACTCCACACTTTAAGGCAAGTGCTTGCTGAAAGAGGTAAGAAATGTCCAAAGTCTGTAGGTATAAAGTGCACTCTCTGTAGAGATATTCTGTTACTGTCCATGAGTGACCAACAGATTATACATAAAGATATGGGACTCAGGAGTAACTACTATCACTCAGGTGACAAATATATTTATGAGGAGGCATCTAAAACTTTCCATGGTGTCTAATTTCCCCCCAAAGCCATCATCCCTCTAAAACTGGGGGGAGGGAGTAGCACTTCCTTTGCAACTTGGGAATATTTAAAATTTGGATAAAGGGTGTGCAGAACTTTGGAATATAATGGTGACTAGTAAATGAATTACCTTTGACTGAAGAATGGAAGCCCATCTCATTGTACTTACAGATTGTGGTGTCAATCTGTAGAACTTTTAAGAGATCATCTCTAGTTGAAACAACAGAATTTATGAGTCAAAATTTTAATCTACAAAATCACCCCAGTGATTTTCTCTGAGTTCCAGGAAGTTCTGATCCATACTCTCAGGCAGGGCTGTGGAATGACTGCTTCCCCAACCAATGAAATGAAAATTCAACCCCGTGGACAATTAACAGGAACTCTTTGATTATTTCTTAAGCCAGGCAACTCCTTCCCATTCTGTTCCTCATGGGCCCTTGAGTGTCACTGGCAAATTAAACCAGCAAGATGTTTTCATTCCTGACCCCCCAGTCTGCCTTAACTAGGAAACATATTACCTAAGGGGTTTTGTCATTCAAACACAAAGGAGCATCCTGGGTTATAGGACTTTCCAGGAAATAAAGTCTCCTAGTAATACATTTTAGCCAATGTGAAAAGAACATATTATATAATGCTTAGCCTGTCTGTATCTTGCTCCTTTACCTGTACAACAGGAACAGTGGTACCTGCCCTACCGCCATTAAGAAGACTGAGTCAATCCCCATGAAGTAGGCTGTTGGGTGCCATGTGAGGACTGTGCCTGGCGGGCTCGCCAGTGGTCCTTTGTCTTGCAGGCTGCTGCTGTGTTCACAACCTCCTGGTTGTGTCTTGTGTGTGACATTGGTTCTCCTATTCCCTCTTCATGCCAGGCCTTGCTCAGTGCTCACGACACTGTAGCTCAGAAGGACTTTGAACCCCTTCTTCCCCCCTTGCCAGACGATATCCCTGAGAGTGAGGAAGCCATGAAGATTGTCTGTTTGGTGAAAAACCAGCAGCCCCTGGTAAGGAAATCACTTTCTCCTTTCAATCGGAATTATATCAGAGTTAATTATTAACTAAATTAAGTAGTGAATGGGGCAATAGTCCTATCCATGGTGACAGATATACTTTGAGGCATTCAGAAAATGTGAGAGGAATCCATAATAACAATGGATGACTATCAACAGTCTTAATGATCTTCACCAGTGGTTTCAAGCACATTTGTAATGTTTTCACTAAAAAAGACTTTTTTGTTTAATGGTTTCTTTTCTCAAAGAGATGTGGGAAATAGGTCTTGTAGATTTTATTTTATCAGTTATTTGACTTTTATATACTTATTTCACTCAATTCCATTGTATTCACCTAAGTTTTTTTCTCCTTTTAATAAGAAGCTAAGTCAGGCATTAACTTAATTTTCTAAGAAAAGTCCCTTTGATTAAGTTGTAAATGTGAGAGCTTTCTCTATATTCCAAAGGCTCTAAATAGTCTTTTGTGTCTGTGTGTGGATGAGACTTCATAAGGCCAAGGTGAATGATCTTTCCTTTCTGAAGACATGCATGAGCCTGGTCAGACCAGAGCTCGATTGAGGTAAGCTACCAGGACACTGAGCATGCAAGTAAAAGAGGGGTTCCACTGTCCTCTCTTCCCAGGGAGCTACCATCAAGCGCCATGAAATGACTGGGGACATCCTGGTGGCCAGAGTCATCCACGGCGGGCTGGCTGAGAGGAGCGGTGAGCTAGCACAGTAGGGGACAGACGTGACAGAAAACTAGGAAGCCCTGATGTTCAGTCTTTCCAGAGAACCCCTCCTCCCTGCCTAAGATGGCGATTTAACATCACTTGTAAAGAAGGAAGGAATAAATGTTCCAGAGACATCTGTTCCCCTCTTCCATTGGTCCTGCCCATTCTGGGTCCCATGTAAATGTTCTCACAGTTTCTGTTCTCAAGGCAATCTTACTGACCATATGTCATGTATCCTGACACTCCATTAAAACCAAAATACCATGGCAGAGAAAGTTTCCACATGTTGAGATGTAAGGAGACAGGAAGGATGAAAAAAATTCACACCTGCCTCTTGATTAAGAAAGAAAATAAATGGATATAGGTTTTGGAGATCAGGGTTGAGAATGGTATTCACTTTTATTGACTGCACAGTAGATTAGGTGTGAAGAAATGTGGACTTGGATAGAGTTCACTGGCTAGTCTTAGGGTACCTCATATGTGACAAAGTGGTGTTTTCTCCAGATAAGTGGAGTTTTGTGTATGGTTGGCAGGCCCTGCCTCCGGACAGCCCATCTCCTACACTGGCAGACCCTGGCCCTGTAACCTTCCTTGGTGTTCAGCCCATAGTATTTACTTCTACCAGCTGAGAGGGATCCAGTAAACTGGGCTGTCAATATAGGTCTCAAAGAGAAGGTTAAGAATGATCATGCCGGCCCTCCCTGGTGGCGCAGCGGGTTAAAGCACTGCACT